ATATATATATATATAAGTAGAGCTATTCAGTGCCTGCCTCTCTGTGTTGACTATACAGGGAATCTGGGCAGGTAACCCTAAAGAAGTAGTATGAATTGCAAAAATCAAAAATGAGATAAAATTATGCCCACCCTGTAAATTTATGCAATGATTTACACAGAATCCCGTAAATAGGGAACCCTCTGGGGATCTTTAGCTCAACTTTCTGCCTGTCAGCTGTGGCTCTGCCCCACTACAGCCTGAAAACACAGGCTCTAAGTCACAAATACCTCAATTTCTTTCAGATCTGGTACAATACAAGACAAAGTTTATTTCAGAGCTGAAGGAAATATATCATGTGCTCCTTCCTTTAGAACTGTAAGCAGCCATTACTTTGGTCCTGAAAAGGACTTTCCTAAAGATAGGATTTGGTTCTCTGATGCAATACTGCCCAGTATTGAAAGCCAACATATTCATGAGAAAACTCTCCCTTTTCTTTCAAACTAGCTTCAACAGTGAAAGATGAAGCATAACGAAAAAGAAAGATGATGTTCTATTATTAGACATTCTTCCAAAAAGCCCAGAGCCAGCACCTCAGAAGCTTTGGATTTTGTCTCTTCCAGGGTTTCCACCAAGTCCAAGTTGTCCAACATGTTTCCTGTGGAAGACGTCAGTTCCCGAAGGAGAGAGTCTTCCAGATCTTTCAGCAAGTTTTTGTTTTTACTTGTCTCCTGGATGAGATTTTCTCTCTGTTCTTCCAGTTCTCTTCTTTCAAAACCCGTAATGACGCTGAGCAATTGATCCTCTAGACCCTTTAGTGTAACTACAGATACAACACATGTACACAGTAGTCCTTTTTAAAACACATTGCATCTCCATCATCTCATAGAACTACAGCAATGCAACGGAATGACTTGGTTAATAACTCTATATCTTAATTCTACCAAAGCATCCTAAACTGACAGATGCAAGAATTTATATTTAGCTCGGTTTCAGATTAAAAGAGGGAAGTGAGAAGAATTTTCTATTAAATCAGATGCTAAGTATCAAGGAGACTACAAATTTTTTAGACTTTCATTGTTTTTTCAAACAAACATCCAGGCCCTAAACTCATGCTGCAGCATACTCATTACTTGATCACTAAATGCACGGTTTGCTTACCTGTATAATTGATAACCACAGCTTTGCCAAACACAGAGGGAGAATACTTTGGGTTAGATAATCTAGTGTTGAGGTACAACCTAAAATTACTGTCATAGTCAACCTCTTTGTCCCCCAGGACGACGAATGTTCGCCCCTGTGCAACTTTGATATTTTTCTCCAAGACGTTGTCTATTATAGGATCAATGTATTCATCAACATCACGCAGCAAGAAAGGGTTTCCATGCTTTATGGCCAGCTCTAGCTGTTTAAGGAAATCTGGGTCATTAAAGGAAGCCACCTGCAAGAGAGTAATGGGAAAATATGAAAAGAGAACTGATACTCAATTTGCTGAACGTTATTACTTTACAATAGCTGCCAGCACAAATGAAGTTTGCTCTTTGTTGCTTTTTGTCTTTCCTCTTACAGACAATATAAACTGCATGAGTACAAAACAGTAGTGATGCTTTTTTTATTATTATTATTTGAGAATAACTTCCATTTGGAGAACTATTCTTCAAAGTTCCAACTGCACCTCTGACTGCGTTATTGTCCTTCATGGAAAATCCATCCTGAAACTGAGATAAAACACAAGCTACACCAGCCTTTTGGTTATGCTATTTCTGCATATACTGTCCAAGGTCCCAAACAAATCATCCGTCCCAAAAAACTGAAGGCCGCGTGAACAAGGATATTCACTATCTATTTTAGAGACACTGTAGTCAGCACATTTGTCAGTACAGAACTGGTTCCCCATTCAAGGTGACAGATATTTATGGAGCTTTTAAAACAACCAGTAAAGAGGTGAAATGATAATTTATCTTTACCTTCAGGTTATTGTTTAGTTCTTTCTTCTTAATCCAATGTAACGCCTGTTCTTGTGGGTCAATACAGAGTGGGAAGCGGCTTGCGTAAGTTGTCAGGATGCCGTTCTGGACAGAAAGCTCATCTGGAGGCAACCCTTGGGAAACCCACCTGGGGAGAAAACAGATCAAAGATGAGGCTCAGATGCGAACTTGGTGGGGGAGCAGCACATGTCATTTGTGAGTAAAAGCAATTCATTGAGCACATTAGACACATACAGTGTATGCGGTTGTGGTAACAGCGTCAAAGCTCAGACTGACTCATTGAGTCATTTTAACTACACTGCTCAAAGCGTTTGGTTCATGATCCTGCAGCAGCTGAAATACGCTACGTGGGCGTATAAATAAGTTTAATTCCAAATTCACTGAAGTCAATGAAAAGACTCCTACTAGGCTACGGGAACACGTATTATAGATAATTCCTTAAAAAATTTCCTAAAAAGGAATGTGTCTAAGTTCAAGGAACGTCTCTGGAGTGTAAAGTACAACAGTTTGTTATAACAAATAGCCTCCATTAACTGGAAGAAAAATAATTTGTCTCCTTGCCAGCTTTGAGGCATGCAAGTGGTCTCTCTCTCTGGCATGGCTATGCACCTCCACCCACAAAACCAATTCCATGCTACATATCCAGGTCCAGAATCCTGTTTCACGATTTCACATCCACTAGTCCCTGGACATACCTGCTAACCTCCACCTCATCAGTCAGGAGGCTTTCTAACCGGAATGGTTGGCTGAGAGGAATCTCTCGTGAGAGGATATCTTCTTGCCACACTTCATAGATCATTTCATTACGAAACTCCCAGCTGAATGCTCCTTCATAGCTCAGAAAGGCAGCACAGAGTAGACAGTCTCCAAGTAACTTCACCTTTCGTATTTCATAGTCCTCTAATTTCTTTTTCCACCTGAGAGAATTACAAAGGAATCCCGGGTCAGCCCGCACCAGAGAGATGGAGTTTCGTGTGCAGAATTTCCAGCTGCTGCTACTTTAGATGTATGCTGAGACAGATCCCCAAATTTACAATCAGCTGTTCTCTCACTATTATGATGGTCACACTATTACGACGGACACTGAGTTGATCTGAACCTTCTTCCTTTTAACCTGAGTTCATCTCATTCTTCTGCACTAAAAACTAATATTTTTCAAGAGCTAATGAAAATTAGCTTAGAACAGATAGTAGCCATTCTCAGAAACAAACATCACAGGAAGTGGCATTTCCAAAAATGTCTCAGTTTGATAGATTTTATCCCTGGCACATGACCAACTGATGTCAAAAGCGTTCCTCATTGAATCTAGACTTACCTCTCATTCTCAGAGCTCAAGCCAGAGATGAGCTTGTCAGCAGCATATAATCTTCTCTGCATAATCTCAGCTTCTTCTTGTAACTGTTGCTTTTCTCTTATTGCCTCTTGATATTTGTTCCCCAAAGTTTTAAGCTCCTCCTGAATGGTGGCCAACTCTGCCTTTATCTTTTCCAGTTCCCGCTTACTCATGTAATAGTTCCGTTCCAACCTAGCGACCTACATTATGATGGAAATAGTATCAGAGGAAAGAAGGGCTTTAAAGAGAAGTCTTAAGTTCCTACATTTCTTTTGGCTCTTTCATGTATTTCAAAGTGTCCTGCTTATAAACAAAGTAAGCCAAAATAACTGGAATCGCTTCACACCCACCTCTCCCCATCCCAAATATCCACATCATAGTCTAACACTGCAGTTCTAAAGCAGAGAAATCTCCCAGAGTTTTGCACCCACAAGGTGTATTAAAGCACGTGAGCAGGCCTGCTGACACTGGAGGTCAGCAGGACCATCATGCCATGACAAAAGGGGAGGTTTGGCTGCTTAACAACAATATTAAGGCCTCAAAAGTAGTCAGACTCATCATGTAGTGAACATGCTTGCTCAGTAGTCAGCTGTATATAATAACCTTTTCCTGAAGAAAGGTTCCCAGCATTATCTGTTGGACCTTAGATTTCCATTGGTAATACAGTCAACTTTCCAGTCGTTCTAAAAGAAGTTAATCAAAAGGTCTGTGTTTAAGGGACATGAATGCTGTGTACTGTTGAGCTCCGCTGTGTTCAAATGCCATGTGTTTTGAAGTCAGTAGACAGCTATAAACCATGTTTTTCTAAGGATGTTAGATTACAAAATTCCAGCTGAAATCATTCCTCCCCTTTCCCTCAAGCACTGGCATGGGTGGGAACCCACATCCAAGCATCATGACACAACAAATACAGCAATTTATAACCGAATACCTGCCTCACTCCTGCTGCATGAGCTCTCCTAACACCTCTTTTAAAGAACTTCAGAGAAATGAGCAGTCTACAAAATTGTCGAGTATTACTTTTCTCATCAGGATCATGCTTCATCCTCCTCTGAGACTGAATCCACACACTTTACCTTTTCTCTCTTTGGCTTGACTTCTTTAACTACATCACAGTAGCTCATCGCTGCTTCGACAAACAGTAACATTCCCAGTCCTGCCCTGCTAACAAGATTCATTGCCTCGAAGGTAGTATTAAGATTCTTTAACAGAGCTAGATGGGCAAACATAAAAATATTTCAAGTGAGTTGAATTACAGTGCAGAAATCCTCAGAGCAATAGCTTTGCCTACCAGCAATACCGAGCAATTCTGTGACACAATATGAAACATTTGTCAGAATATTAAAGAGGCTCTGAACTTCAGATGAAGCTACTGGGCTGCAACAATACAAGCACAATACTGTTAGGGATTTCTCCAGTTCTTTCTCCTTGAAGGGAGTGCACGCAGGAGTTGTTCAGCATGACTGAGCATCACAGTTTGTTTTCTTTGCAGCAGTCAGATGGAATTTTGTTCAAAGAGCCGAATTCTCCTCTTAACGGAACTACTCTGGATTACACCCTTGGGAGCATGTGCAAAATTTGGCCCATAAGCTTTAAATACAGCTCGTCTTCTTCCCACTCTGTATAGATCAGATTTTCATTGCCAGTACATGGATGAGGTCATAATTTTACCAAGTGGCTAGAAGCAGACTGCAGACCTAACCACCTATCCTGTTTCTTTCTTGTCTGCTCTAAACCAGAGCGTGTAAGACCCTAGCTAAGGTGTAAACTGGATGTAACACATAGCAGAAGGTCTATAAGCTCTGGAAAATCCAGTCATCCCAACAGTGCAACATCTGCAGCACTGCAGACAGGGCTGTCCCTTTGCACAAAGCGAATCCCACCCTCCCAAACAAGACTGGAAGGCATGCCCCTGCCATGGCTAATCACATATAAAAGATCCTACGTTCATTCCAAGTATACAGATCAGTAATTTACCTCGGATAGATTTCACTTGGCTCTGAGTAATTCCATCAAAATCTATCTCCATGAGGGATCGCAGGAAATTTGCCTCAGACATCATGCCTCTGGCTGTCTTCCAGTTTAATTCTTTGTAACCTCTCATTATAAGAACACAGTCCAAAACAACCTGCACCTGCCTAGGAGGTTTTGCAAAGGATCTAGCAAACAGATGAACGAGACAGTGGAGCAAAAAAAGAAGACAAAGGACATGATGTCAGACACAGGTATGTCTCATTAAGACAGTCATTGCAATACAACAAGACCTAATATATAAGACATCCTACACAAAGTGAAAAAGATAACCCAGGCCAGGCAAGAAATTATTAAATAGTCAAAAGCTCAAAAATTATTCTTGTGTTCAGGCAATTTGATCCATGAAATACTAAAGAATTTCAGCAGCAGCAGGTCTAAAATTCTGAGCCATAATATTCTTCCCTAGGGCAGTGAAGCAGCTGTCGATTGGAAGAAGCAATACAGGAAGAATCCAGAGATCTAGGAGAGAAAAGAAACTAAAAAAATGTGGCAGGAGAAGGGAGAGTTGTTTCTATTTTGAGGAGAGTCAGGGACTGGGATTTGCTTTTATATCTATCCCCAAATACAAGATGTATTATAAAAACACAGGAAGAAGTTAATTCAGCAGAGAAATACATTTTCATGCTGTCAAAGCATCCCTAAAAAATAACTGGCATGTGTTCCTACTCACACAGAATAAAACAGAGGAGGAACGAGAGGTTTGGACAGCCACTGCTCAGGCAAAACCCACAGCAGTTTCTAGTGCATGAGATACGGGTTAGACATCAAACAAAGGACTAGAAGAACAGGCTTGAGGGGTAGACCTAGGCTAGGAATCAGGGGATTCTGTTGCAACCTCTGCACCCAGACAACTGATGTCCTGACCTTCACCCACATACATGCAGGTGCAAAAGGTGAGGCCAAGGTTCAGTTAATTTTCCAAAAGCTTAAGCTACTGCAGATTCAAAAGTCACCTGATCTCGGTAACATCTGACTTGTCAAGCTTCTGAAGCTCCTCTTTGGCAGCTTCTAAAACAGGAATGACTTCAGTCAAAGCTGTCTCAGCAGCCGCCTTCTCCGTAGCAATAAGGTTATTCTGTTCCTCTATCTCCACAGCTTTTTCTTCAGCTAGTGTTTTCTTCTCCTCAGCTAGGAATTGTAAAGGCAGGACCATAAATGGATTGTTCAGACTTGGATACAGCACTGATACTAATAAAGATTTGCTCTTGGCTCTTTGCTCTTTCTGCCCTACACTTTGGAAAGGGAAGACAAGGGCAGGCAAACATAGTGCTGAGTTGTGTAAAGTACTTTAGACCAAATATACAGCAATGACTGCACTCTGGGCAAGACAGGGGATCTACTCTTCTAGTATGACACCAGATCAGCACAGAGAAAACAAGGGGGTTACCTCCAAAAGCAGCAGGAGCTCTTATAGTTTATGGGACACTTCAGGAGTTGTAAACTACCTACCTATTTCTGTGTTTGCCGAAATCTCTTTTAACAAAGTCTCACAAGCGGCTGATTTTTCTGCTAGCACAATCCTTTGCTCAGCAAGTTTCTTGTTCAGGTCAATCAGCTGTATACTAGCTTCCTTCAGTTTATCTAAGCCGCTATCCAGTCGTTTACACTGTGCTAGGTAGGAAAAAAGTGAAAAATATTAGTGATTTGTTGATCATGTACTATCACACAGCAAGACACAATCTCACAGAAGGTAAATACGCTAACAGGTGCATTTAGCAGCGAGGCAAACTCGGTTATGAGAAGAAAATTACTCTGAGAGATTTTTTCCTTTCCTAAGCTTCCCACCCAAGATTAATCACATTTAATCAGACCATTCACCAAGCAGAGGAGTGTCTGGTTTTGAGGTTCTGGCTCAGGTTCATGGGAAAAAGAAAAATTGAGGAGAGCTATCGTTTGACAGAGTCTGAACATCCACATGTGGCCAGGATATTGGTCCAATGCCAAAACCAGATGCCAGCACAGCATTTGAGATTACAGAATCACAGCATGTTATGGGTTGGAAGGGACCTCTGGAGATCATCTAGTCCAAACCCCCTGCCAGAGTAGTTTCACCTAGGACAGGTTGCACAGCATAGTACTGATAAAATGATTTTTGCATAATGTGGGTAATAAATGCAATTCTTGCCACAATTTTTTCTTTCTAAAATATTTAAATCACTTTTTACAAAGTAGAAAACATCTACACAGGTTTACCTAAAATGAACTGGTTTTTCTCCTCTAGCAATTTTGAGTAAGTGTGGATAAAATCAAGGTAATTCTTTGGTGTGACATGGTTAGTACGTCTCAGTTTCTGCAGAAACCTCTTGCTGAAATCCTCTACAGATTCATGAACCATGACCATGTGCTCAACCACTGACTTGGAGTTCTCTGAAGGGATGCGTCTGCTACTTCCTAGAATTGGGCAGAAGAAAAAAAAATCAAAGGTTCAGGATTTTTTTAAGTATGCAAGTATATGCCAATTACCATCTTTCTTAGGAACATTTAAGACAGGCACAAAAAAAGTCTACTTTCTGAGGCAGAAAAGCAATAGGAAGGCAGAGTCAGAAGAGAACCTGGGCCTCCTGGTAGGCAGGCCACCTTGTCTGCAGAGCTGGGAACTTGAATTTCAGCAGATTTTAAAATCTATTTGAGTAAGAAACTTCCATCAAAACACATCTTTTTGACTGGGATTTTGCATCATCCATTTAGACTCAGGGATACAAGCACAATGGGAAATCAAATTATGAAACCTACAAGAACTGCAAAGTAAAGAATCTATTTCTTAAACTATCCCAAGGGTTAAAATACTGACATTTTACATACCAACAAAGGATTGTGCAACTGCATACAAGGCCTGGGAGGGCCAGGGCATGAACCAGTCAATACCAGTGTTGTTGACAAGACCTTAAAATAAAAAGATAGTGTTACCTAAAAAATTCCTTTGTAAAACTAGACCCTAACCTGCCAGGCAGTCCCATGCTTAATGTTATTTGCATCAAGAATCTGCAGGATCTGTCTTATTTGACTCCTGCTTAGCAACAAAATTTACCACAAAGTCAATACATTCATTTTGATCATAACTAATCAGCTCTGCACCCGTGTCCTGCTAACCCCACTAAACTATTCTTTAGGCTGTACCATTCTACAGGATGCAGTCAAGAGCTGCAACAAGGTTTTTCAATGCCTGAGTTAAGATTTCCACTCATAGCCCATCTTTCACGTGTCTCTTCAGTCTTCCAGGACTCCTTTCAGCCACCCGGTGAAGCGCAGCACCCACCAGATTCAGGATTTTTTTCTCTCAGTGGGTGACCCTCTCACCATGGTCTTTTTTTCTGGCTTTGGCTACAAAAATGTTTCTCTTACCACCGTCCTAGTTTCAAAATGTATTCTTCTGTAATCTACAGAAGAGAGGCTGCAGACACAGGCTGTATATTTCCAGTTCAATGAGGCTGACCAATTGATTTCTGGCTGTTCATCTGGAAAATTAACTGATCTGGTAAACACTCATCAATAAAACTCGCTGATTAGTGGTAATTAACTAGAAAAAAAATCATGCACTGCAAATCCTTTATCATAAAACCTGCCCTGCTTACTTTTAGCTGCCAGACATGTGTGAATGTCCACTGCAGATTTTCTCTTGCCCATAAACTTGTATTTCATAGAAAAGAGACTACACAGTGAGTGCAATTGGTACCTGGAAAATTTCTGCACCACTTTCTCAGGCTGTCCCCAACCGGGGACATTCCCAGGACAATGTGAAGGTTCCTTGAACATTTGTTTACAAAATATTGCCAGACACTCTCTTTAGCTGGGTGTACGCCAGCTTTACTAGCTTCATCTCCAATCTGACTTAGTATGGTGTCTTTTTCATCATCTGCAAAAAGGGCTGGCACCATTCCTGTAACATAAGGACAGAAGAATGTTAGTGAGAACAATCAGTAAGAGAAAACCATATGGCTGGAAATAGAGCACATGAGAAACCAGAGTCACAAATTCTAAACCCAGTTCTGCAAAAATGATTCTGGGTGGTTTTGAATGAACCTGTTAATCTATCCATGCTTCTCCTTCCCTCTACCCTCCATGGAAAATAGAGAGATAGTACTTAGGAAGATGCAAGGGGATTTAGAGGAATAATTAATTTTTGTTGGGCTTCAGCAACATATACAAAATGCCTCAAAAAGATAAAGTGCAAAGAAAACCTTTTTTAGTGTCAAAAAACCATCAGTTCACATTATTACTCTCTTAGTCACACGGCAAATATATTATAAGTTACTTAGTGACACACATAAGCAGACTAGAAACAGGAAAAACTAGACCAAGGAAAGGGATAAGATTTAACACATCTGTGTTCAAATCAGACTGTGCAGGAACTTTTTTAGAGAGGGGGGTCACACAGTGCCAGCTGCTGCAGACACTAAAAGATATTAAACTGCATTTTAGAACATATATCATCATATACATACAAGCAGTTGTTGCATTTCAGGTGATGCTACTGAGAAGCCAATGGGACAAAAGGTGGGTTTGTGGCCAAATGCAGCTGAAGTTATATCTCAGTCTTGGAAGAAATCTGAGACTCCCACAACACCATGATCAACATAAATTAACTCAGCCTTCCCAGACACCCATAAAGGACCATTAGAAGATGTCCAAAAGCCATTATTAAGGCCAAGATCATTTTGGTAGTCCTGAAAGGTGTAACTAACTAAAGCAGCAGAGGACACGGGGTGAAACAGTAATAGCTGGGTCAAGGGTACATTTGAGGTTATGAGGTACAAATAGTACTGATGAGGAGTAACTGAGGCTGCTGCACCACCTGAAGTTAACATGTTGTTGAGGAGTTCCAGAAAACTCTCTTCTGCTACCTGGGCATCTGTAAACAAGAAGACCATTGACTTGTTCTCAATACCCAGCTTTTGGTACAAATTTTTCAAATCTTCTCGGAAATTATTTTCTCCATATCCTCGACTCAGGATGATCTGAAATACCTAAGGATGCAAACGTATACTGAGAAGACACAGACAGGCCCAAGACATGATGGAATTTCAACTAGTCTGGATCAAGGATTTTGGGTTGGTCCCTATCAGCAGTAAATTTAAAGTATAAAAAACCAATTATGTACTACTTTCTTTTAAAAAAATCTATTTGTACAGCCCTGCAGGACTGCATTTTCAGAACTGCTTTGTGTTCATCTTCCTTTTTGGTTCTTTCCTTCCAAGCCTCTGAGAGAGGAACACTTCCTATCTGAAATACTACAGTATCCATCACAACAAGGTTCCTCAAGCAGCACTGGAGTGCTGCTGTAACATGGACACGTAACAAAAGCAGTAGTTAGGGACTATTAGTGGCTCTGCACTGAATCCATCTTTGTTAGCTGTTTCCAGTGCCAAACCCTAGATTGAGTCACTGAGAGTTTCCTGCCCAGGTCACACACAATCATCACCGCAGACCTCCCGGCAATCACCTCATCCTGGTTTTCTCTCCCCAGGGAAGAGATGTCAGCCTGTTCTTATCTTGACTGACTGACTAACTTGCCTCCCCACCCCCGAAAAATTAATTCTGATCACAATATTGCTTTCCTTGTCTTCTTTCACTGCAAAGCAGCAGGGTCACTAACCTCACATCCAGCTGTATAGGCAGCCAGTCTCGTTAGAGACTGCTTTCCTGAGCCTCCTACTCCTATGAGCAGGGCATGGCCACGATCCATCCGTATGATGCGATGTACATGGATTAAGTGCTCCAAAGCATCATCAAAAAGAACCAGATTCATTTTTGTATTAACTTCATTATATTCCTCAAAAATCTCCTGCAGAGAAAGGTGGACAGACTGTTACTAGCTCCTACAGTTTGAGGCAGGCTCCTGCCCATTCCTCAGGAACAGAGATAGAATCGAGCAGAGTTCCAAGCCGATGCACACTACCTGAAAGACAGCTTTTGCTGCATCATAGTCTTGGATATCTTCATAAATACGAGGTTCTTCTTCACTCAGTGCCGTTCTGAAATCTCCAAAAAGAATAGGATCCCTCATAGCCTGCTCCAAGTCATCTTTGAAATTCTCTTCGATCAGGTTTTTTATATGACTTTGTACCTTCAAGGAAATGGAATGAGTCAGGCAACACAACAAAGCAGATGATTCTGAATCCAGTCACACTTAGAAGGGTGATAATGCAGATTCTTGCTCATGTAATGACCAACTTCAAGGAGATAACTTATGTCACTAGAAGATTCAAAGACCACAGCCTCCCATTGTGTTCTGTGTATGATCTAAAATGATCTAACAGGCAGTTCAAGAACCATTCAAGCCATGGTCTGCAGGAGTTTAAGACAGAAAAAGATAAGCCTGCTAAAAAATACCTTCTCATATATTGGTGTAAATATCACATTAATAAACCTTCCCTCTCAGTAATCACAGATGTCTCGCCATCAAGATTTCTCATGAAACTTGCATCACTCTCTCTTGCATTTTAAGATATAATTTGGAAGATATGCAGTTGGCAGAAGAGCCAAAACTGAATCCACTGTTTGAGGACTCAGCTCTTATCTTTCTTCTTTCTACTTGATTGTACTCTGATGCAATCCTTCCTAAAGGAAAACACCGCCTTGAAGTGATTTCCTGAGTTTTCCCATGCACTGCTCTCACACTTTGTCACCTGTGCCACTGCTCATCAATTCACCTGGACAGGGAAACTGAGTGGCACTTTCCATTCCTTCAGCAGATCTGCTCACTTAGTCTGCCACACTCACTTCATTTTGGAAAAGAAACCTCCACGGGCCACACTTTAAATTAACAGAGCAACATAGCGGTCAGACAAGCCTGCAGTCTGACTGCAAGATCTGAGTGCAACAGTTGGCAATTCTACTGCTGCAAATTAGTTGCCATAGTAATAGCCAGTGACTACTAAAAATTGAAAGAAATTACTCACCAATGCTTTGTCTGCTTCATTAATCAGCCTGTCATGGAAAACCCTCAGGCACTCATTTCTCCAAACTCTCACCATCTGGGTCACTGTTTGAAACCTACATTAAAATTGAAATATCGGACTGCACCAAATGAGCTGACATGATTCCTAAGGCCATATGGTTAATAAAGCTGACCAGTTGACTATTTTTTTTCAGTCTTTTTGGTTCTGTTCTTTTTTTAAGAGCGAATAATTAATTTGCTTGCATTTTAACTTGCAGATATCGTACTTAAGAAAGAGGAGTATCACAATTTAGTATGTTCCTGAACATTTTCTCATTGTGGTGACTGTTTAATAAAAAGTGACCAAGTGTGAGCAATTACATGCACCAAATTACTTCATCTTCACCCAGTTTCATCCCATATAAATGTCTAGGACCACCAAAGTCAATTTTGCTTTTTCTATTCTTACCTCTCTGGAGTTGTAAGAACAAGTCCATTATAGACCCTGGAAAGATCCCGCAGGTTAAAAATGTAATGGAATTTGGAAGGAGTAGGGGGTAGGTCACAAATAATCATTTTATAAAGCTCCAAAGTACACAGAGTAATCTTTTCAGAGATGGCTGATATAGACTCATTAAACACCTGCAAACATAAGAAAGGTGTTTTCACAAGACTGCCCAGAGAGAATTCCATGCTATTAAACATACTCTGCTTACTAGTTTTCAGCTCTGCTGGGTATATTTCACATAATTGGGATCAAGCACTTGCAGAAATTCGCATTCCTCTGTTGTATGACTGTTGTGCAGTTAAACATTTTGGGCAAGGCCCAACTTCACTCCCAAGACTACACAGTGCTGAAGATACCATCACACTCCGGGACTCGAATTTCCACAGCACTTCTACAGCAGAAAAAAGGAACTGCTCTTTGCTTGTATAATGCTTCAGGTTACTTGCTAGTAATGCAGTCTACTGCATTATATTACATTTTTCACAGTCATTCAGGACAGAGTTTGCTGACCTTTGTGTCTGTGGTTACATGAACCATAACCAAATTGCTCACAGGTCTCAACCTGTGAAAAGCACCAGGTTTATAAAATATCTGCTGATTTGAATGCTTACATATTACTTAAGTATTTAGCAAAACAGTGTAAACTCATCTCTTGAGAAGGAGGAGAAGAAGGCAAAGGTTTGTATGAGGTTCTATATACTATGAAAGTCTGATAACAGAAAATGTCAGGTCTTGTGGTAACGCAGAAACAAATGTCTATTTTAAAATAATAAATCTGTTGAGCACTCCTTTAAAAACAGTGAAATTACCGCAGTGTGGCCTTTCAGGATGGAGACATAGATCAAATTCAGTGATTGTTCAGAAGGAAAAGGTACGTTAAAAACACTGAAGAGTGAGATGAATCGAGGGTCAACTTCATTCCGACCTCCTCCAGCCTTCCCCATGGCAGCAATAAAACCCAGGTCTCGAAGATGTTTACAGTTCATCTCCTTACCACGGTCATACAAAAAACCTTTTTCTAGCAGCAGCTTCAACAGAGCAATGGGTTGCTGTGTGCCATATTCGTCAACCTTCGCAATAAAAAAGAATCAAGATATTTAGAGCACAGTACATCAGCATGCCAATTACTGATACAAACATGGAAATATTGTGCTCCATACTCAGGACAACATTACAAGGACTAAGTGACACTTAGTAAAGTTCTAGCACTGACTGTGAAAATTCATTTCAACGTCTCCTATGAGAAAAGTGCCTCTTCTCCGAGATAAACTAAATGCACACATACTCTTTTGCCTTATTTTTAAAGAGAACTGGCTGGTTTCTACAATACACACCACAGAAATGTGATTTTAATGACATAAAGAAATGATCCCACAGCATCTCTTTTATACAGGACAAATATTGTAACAGATAGAAACACCCTCTTCTGCACTCTCCTGAGCTGAAATCCAGTTACACACTTACCATGACTCTCCTTGACTTGTGATTCATTGGATTTGTGTGTGAAGGGATCACACCAGTGCCACCCCAAGGATTTCTGTACTATTTTGTAAACTATTGGCAGCTTACCCTTGGCATATTCATATCATCCATGAAAACAATGAGACGTTTTCCCATAGGAGGGCCATAAGTGTCTTTAGTTCGTTTTTCCACATTTGTCTCTAGGTTTCTCTGAATGTCCATTGATGTTGTACGAGAAGAGAAGTTAATTTTTAGCAGCAGCTGCGAAGGGGAGGAAATGGGTAAGAATGGATGTTTACCTGGTTTGGGTTTTTTTTCACCAGAGCACTCAGAAAATATTCTTTATATTAGGCTGTCAGACATACAGGAAACACTTCGCTGGTCCATTTACTCACTTGAATTAAAGATGACAAAGAAAAGTAACTCCATTCTTAGCACTTCGATAATATATATTTACTTTATAAAACCGAATCTGTACATGGTAGAACAGAACAAAACATCTTTGATCCTAAAGGATTTTCAAATCATTCACATACCAGAGCTTGCAGTCATGTTACTAAAGTCAATGTTGCTCCCCACAGACTCAGGCTGCACAATACAAATTTAACACAAGGATAAAGAATGAAAATGCAGCTTTACAAACAAGGCAAAATGCCTCATACATACATTGAGGTCTTTGTCCAGATTCTTTAGGAAGTTTTGTGTAGTTGCTGTTTTAGATGTGCCCGATTCACCTACAAGAACAACTGGGTGTTTTATTTTTACCATTTGCTCTAGTAACCAAGTAGTGCGTGTTGTATCCACTGTAGGCACTGAAAAAGATCATGAATATGACAGCAGGTTAAATTAAAATGCAGAACAGCTGGGGGATTTATATTTATAGAACAGTGCTGGATCAGACTCTCAAGGTTTTAACATGCAGTTGCACAGACATAATCTGAAATATCAACTCACTAACACTGTTGAAAGAAAATCTTAATTATTCAACTATCTCTTTTCAGCTTTTATCATTGGGATATTTTCTCCTACAGATATATTTAAAAAGAAGTTATCTTCCATACAGAAGCATCATGAACTGGTTAAACTCCATTTAATCCCTATTTCAAGGATATAATCAGGATTTATTTGGATCATAAGCATTTTCCCAGAACTCTACAGAGATTAATGTATTTCTGTGTGAATAGCCTGTCATTAGGAGCAACTTCACAGGGCATGTAATTATCTCTTGCGTCAGTGAAGTTAACCTGTGCTTGCTGAAGTGATACTACAAAAGTAACCTGCCTTAATTTATCATTAACTATGAAAAGCAGCTGTCACCATTACACAGTGCTTGCATTAACAACTAATAACGGCCTTAAGCACGTAATTTTTATCTACTGAGTGGCCAAATCACAGAGCTGACATTTTTACTAGAATTTCTGGTAGAGCAGATCCTGAATTTTCTGCTGTTCTGGTTTGTAGAAGGCATTGTTACCTCCTAATAAGCCTTATTAACCAAAACAAGCTTTTCACCCTTCCCTCATTTCTTTATTACATGGTGCTGTGTAAATATCAACTCTATTCTTGCTAAACTACAAGAACATTAAAGAAATAGATTTGTGCTGTCACAAGAAACTGAACCTGAGTAGATGGCCTTCAGTACAGAAAGAGGATGTCTGGTGTGAAGTGCCATGCACTCCCTGGCGATGTATTATAAATTAAAGGCATATCATCATTGTATTTTATCTTAACACTCACCTAGAATGTCAAGAAATTTCACTTGAGGGTCATGAACATATTCAGGAACAAGCTTCATCCAAGGTACCCACTTTTTTTGAAATCCATCAAAATGAAAGTCATACAAAGTTGGCAGCTGACCTGAAAACCATTAAGCAACTTCTAGGACACTGAAATATTTCATAAGAAAAGAATCCAACTGAGATGAAAGTGAAAGGTAAAATTCTGGATCAAGTTGGGCAACACTGTGTTCTGTTTACTTGTCATTTAACCCAGTAAGACATCAATGGGAATTCTCTTAGTGCAGCACTTGAATCATACTATCAGTTTTTAAGCATCTTCCACCAGCCTTTCCTTTCTCACTTTATTTTTCCTTTCACTATTTATCTTTTCAGTTGGGCACAGAAAAGTACTGTTCTCAGAGGACAGACCAGTAGCTGAGAGTCAGCTAACATCAGTATCTCTACACGGTTTTCAGTGATGGTCATTCAGAGTGCATATTTTGCAGCCAGGATAGTTAGCTGGAAGGAAGAACAATGTTCTTCCTTTACAGAAACTAGCACTTTTCTAACATAATCAATGGGATCCAGACTAAATTATGACAAGATGCTACCTGGCAGCTCCCCTGGCTGAGCCAGGACGTTGTCATCATGAACAACAGGCAGGCAGGAAATCCGTTTAAGATTCTGATCAAATTTAATTCTCCCAGCATCAAGAAGAGCAGCACCTAGGGAGCAATACAAAGCTTCCACGAAAAAACACTCCAGAACACTAGGATCAACAGGCTGTACTGCAACTAGAGCTTCCAACATCACAGTCAGCTGCACCACCTGTTGTAAAACAAGACAAAACTGTAAAAAGAATTGCCATTTAGATGCATGAAACCTCTTGCTATGTTTTCAGCTGAGTGTTTGCTGATCTTTTGTCCTTACAGGTGTATCTACTGACACGCATATTAACGACAGTAGAAGAGCAGTGTTAGAAACCGACTGTTTCTTTTGTCTCTTAGTGCTCATCACTAGCAAACTGACATTTCAGCACAGACTCTACTCCTGTACTTTCTTTGGGAGGTTTTCACTCACTCCATCATTCCATTTCTCTTTTTAAGGAAAATTCTTCAACCTTTATTCTCTATTCCTTACCATATTTAAATCTGTTTGAGGAACAATGGTCTTCAGCTTTTCTCCATGTCTGCCATCCACAATTCCCTCTACAATCACATCAATAAGGTAGGGTACATATTTTTGAAAGAGACGATCCAATTCAATTCTCTCTTGCTGAGGAACACAAAGGACAGTAACTCAGCACACAGAAACCCAGAAAGCCCATCAGTACCTGGCTGACCAAGCACAATTGTTCTCAAAGGAATCACTTGTACCAAAGACAGGGTGCAATCACATGAAGAAATGTGACACTGTTCTATGGACTGGATTTTCAGCAGGTGAGGATCTGCATCCATCAGGTGCTGGCAAGTAAGTTGTCTTACTTCAGCTCCCTGTGGACTTGAGTTTTTAATCTAAATGTTAAGAAACAAGCACCTAAGCAATCTCACCGTTAACTCTCTGGAGATCAGATAAGCTGATTTCTTAGTTATTCACTTCTCAGGAACAATTAGAAGTCAGAAAAGGTAGTAACTCTCTTTAGCCCTCTGCTGCAGGCCTAATGATTAGATTTGTTGTCAGAGAACTAGAGTTCTTTTTACAGCTGAATATAGTTCAGTACTTAACACAGGTACCATCTGAACAAGTGCAGAAATTCTCACCTCATTTTCTCTTCCTTGGATCCACTTCTGCCAGTAGGGCTCGTATTTCAGATTTTTAGGATCTACAAAGACCATTCCACAACGGGATACCGTGGCAGGAGATGCATACTGTAAGTCACCAACCTACAAAGTAATGATACAAGATAATCATACACTTAAACAAACAACAACCACAGTAACTGCTTTTCAGGCTTTGTAGACCCATCTGTGTATAAGCCTTCCCAGCTACTAACCGGTGCGGTCATTCCTTACCTCAAACAACAACGCACAGTGCGACTGAAGTCTAATCCGCTCCCCATTCGCCAGGGTCAATAACCTGTTGTCATCCATGACAGAATTCATGTTTTCAACCCAGAGAGCATCCACATCTCCATCAAACAGAATGTACCTGTGGAGACAGGAGTCAAGGCGCACTGACTAGTATCTAATTTTACCAACGTATTTCAGAACTCAGATGTGCCATCAGTGGTGTCAGTCCACATGTTATGAAGCCTCCCACTGACTTTTATAATTGCATAGCTTCCATCCATCTCACTGAGGCTGGAAACCTCCAGAAGATGGAAAAAAAACCTAGACGCATTCTATTTATTTAGCTGTTGGGTGCTTTTTTTTAATAGTTTAAAATAAAATATTGACGTAGAACTCAGGATCTAAAAATCATCACAATGATTTCTAGCTGTCTACCTTCGCTCTTTCGTGTCAGTAGGCCTGTTGATATCCCGAAAAATATTTGACAGGACTCCATCTGTCCAGTCTCGTGTGGTGGGGTCAAGGACGCCATACAGCTCAATCACACTCATAGCTTTAGGGTTCAGTGTGTAAAGCTTTGTCAATAATCCCAGCCTAGAGATACAGCAAGAAAAGTAATATTAAAGTGACAAAATAGCATCTCATGCTAACCTAAGCAAATATTATGGGTCAGCTATTGATCTCATCATGACTGTGCAAGGCTGAATAATGCAGTCTGTGCCATTTTACAACCTGATTTCCATGTCTCAGATTCTATACTCACTTGTTTTGGGCCTGGCACAACGCATTAATGACAACTGACTTGCCACCTCCAGTAGGTCCAACTACCATCGTAGTGTGTCGAGTTAACATCGTCTCATAAATCTGAACTACTTTATCCACCTGAAAAATAAATATTGGTTCAGTAGACTTCTGGCCATAATTCTTCCGTGGAAAAGATCAACAGCTGGTCTAGACCAGCTAAGCTTTCCTGGAGCCACTCTAGAGTGCAACAATGTATATCCAGCTTAATGTTCACAACAAAAACTCAAGCAATTAACACTTTTTATACCTGGACCGGTAAAACAACATAACCCTTTTCTTCCAGCACTTGTTCAACAGCATCATTAAAGTCAGGATAGCGGACTCGAGGACAATCCAGGCCAGGAAACAGGTCAGAGATTAGGCCAAGGAAGAGAGGTACATCTTCAAACACCAATTTAGGAAGATTCATATCTCGTAGAGCTCTCATCAGTACAACTTCCTAGACAAAACATATCACAATCAATCTTTACCAAATAGCTAACCAATAATAAGAGGAATGTCTCCAGGTATCTGGATATCACAGCCCTACATAAAGAAATAAAAAAATAGGTGTAAAAGAAAGCCATAAAAAGCAATGCAACATTGAAAAACTTTCATTTCTAAGTATCCTGTACTACTTGAGCTACACAATTAACAACCTTGTGAGTGGAGCTCTCACTGTTCATCTGGCTATTTGCATCCTGGACTTAACAAAAGTAAAATACCTCATTTTCTATAGGCTTCCCTACTTTGACTTGAATTCTGATGATAACCTGCTGGCAGAGGGCATGATGAAACTCAGTAAGAACAAAGAGAAATACCAGGACAAATAACACCGTTGCTCCTATTTCCAGTGCAGACAAACTACAACAGATGCGTAACCACATCCTCTTCCTAATGAAAAAGATGATCTGCCCAGGGCAACTAGAGCAGCAAATCTACCTCAGTGAGATGTGCTGAGCCTCTTTTCAGTTCTCCAGCCATCACCAACACTGACTTAAGGGCCCGCAGACCAAAATCGTAATGATGCTGTTTAGAAAGTTGATCCTTTGCCAGCTTGTACAGCACTGTCATCTTTCTGGCAAGTACCTGTTTGAGATTTAAGTTAAGGAATCGCAAATGCGTAAGTCACAACCAAACACTGGCCATGGATACAGGGATGTCCATATGGGTAGGGGTAGCAATAACATTTTCTTACCTTTGCCCTGAGGAACCCTTCAGAAAAGAGCATGATTTCACAGATTTGCTGAAGATCTGGTACAATAACAACCACAGGCCTGAACAAAGCTTTTACAGACTCAGGGAGCTCAGTCCGGCCAGCATAACCAGGATTCATCGTAATAAAAATGCCCATTCGGCTGTCAAGAGTAATTTCCTGTCCTTCAAACTAAACCCATAAGAAATTATTAGAACAATTCACACTTCTCGATCCAATTACCCTTCTTTTTTAACATTTACCTGAAATGTTTTCAACTGATTCATTAAAGCACTTCGAATAGTCTGAATCCGAGAAGAAATGACTGAAAGCACAGAAGCATCAATACGATTGAATTCATCAAAGCATCCCCACGCTCCACACTGTGCGAGACCAGAGAAAATTTTACCAATTGCCTAAACAAGAACAACGAGAAAAACACCTTAGCAAAGAATATATAAAACATTCAGCATGAGTAACTTCTGGAGCATGCTAAAACTCTTAATGACTAGATAAAACCTCTGGATATTTATATATGCAGGAGCCAGCAATGTGTCATAAGGTCTTGCAACAATTACATGCAGATTGCATGATGAGCTTAAACACTATCATCTACTCATCGCTCTCCGGTTTTAAAGCAACTGAAATTCTTTCAAGAATTTATTCAAAATAGGTATTTTTTATTGTATTTCATTATCAATCAGCATGGTTTCTCTAAGGGAGACATCTATGCAGATGTTCAGAATATGTCCTTATCCCAGGCACTGAAAAAGAGCAGTAACTGGCACTTTATCAGAGGACACAGATCTTTTAACACTTACTTTGAAATCCATGCCTTCTCCACAGTTTGTCACTACACACAGCAAGCCCAGCGCTTTGGCCAGATCCTTGGTGGTTTCTGTTTTCCCTGTACCTGCTGGCCCTGCTAGTGCTCCTCCCAAAAACATGGATAAAGCCTTTGAAGACAGACGAAGAAAGCAAAGCAAAGCTTGGGTTACATTTAAATTAGGTTGGCAGCAAATCACATAAACCCGTGGGTACAAAAAGCCTTAAATTTCATCTGTGAATGCATTCTATAATATCTTTGATGAAATCAGGTTAGAGGGATATCACAATTGGTTTCAAATATATCAGCTTTCATGTTGGCATCTAGGAGATAATAGAAAGCGGCAACAAAACAACTATGTGATTGCCTAGAAGTGCATTTTTAAACGGTTTGTTAGTAAAAATCTCCTTGAACGTGTACCTGTGTGAGCGTAAGATAAATACGATCTGTAAGTGGGGTGATCACAAGGCGTCCGTTCAAGCCCATATACTCGTAACCATACGAAAACGTGCCTGTGCACTGCCGGACATTCAGTTCATCTGGCTCTCGGACCCAGTAAAAGCGCAGCTGTCTTTCCCACTCAAACTCCTGAGCGTGCAGAATGCTACACAAGAGAGACTTGCTCACATGAGATAAAAGAATGGAAATACAATTTATACACTGGGTACTTTCTCAATAGGTTGGGGGGGGTAGTGTTTACCTGTCTCGTACAAATGTATCAACAATGTCTCTGGCATGAACATCAATAATGAGAACTGTGTTGTATTTTTTCCTGTCATTTTTGCTCAAAGGCATTGTAATGCGGGTAACCAGGTCATCGATTTGCTTATGCATTTTTTTAGCATAACGCATCATGGCCTGTTTTTCTCCTTTCTTCACTTTCCGAAAGACGTCCTCTACCTGCCAAGTCCACCACACCTGATTAGCAGCCAGCACCATCATGCCTTGGTAGAGTAACATCCAATCAACCCTATGGGAAATACATACAGGGAGAGAGTCTGAGTTAGTGTTTATTCTAAGTAACTGATAAGGCAGGGAAAAAAACCCAGAACGAAAACAACAAAATATTTCCTCCTATTTCTGCAACAGCTACAACATAAGCCAAACTTTACAAAGATGTACAGAATTCCATCAAGGTGTGCTGTAGCATTGCAAAAGCACAGGAAATACTCTAGAAAAGCTGCCTATTCCATATGTAAAGATTGCCAAGTGGAATTCATAGTGAGAAAAACACACTGCACACACAACAGTAAAAACAAATACTCAAGACTTAGGAAATTACATGTGATAGATAACACAATTTTTTCTGATCAGTTAAAATACTGCATATGCATGTATTCATATCCCTCCACAGGTTAGGTTGTAGAAAAATTAAGAAAACAAGTCTTTATTTTTCTATACCGCTACAGGCTCCGAGTAATATACAAGGTATTTGTGTCATCTTTGACACTGATTGTTTCACCTGCTTCTGTCTTCACAGTATCGAAAAATAGCTTCCTTAGTAAGAAGTCGGTTTGTTCGTTTCATTTCTTCCAGCACTGCTGTCATCCAATTCTCCACTCTGCCCTCTGCAGCTATAGCCTGCCGGAATTCCATCACCTCTCCCTCAGCTGAAATCATGGCTGTTACAATCTTCTTATCGTTATCACCATCCTCAAACCTCAGGGAGGCTATGTTATCGTACATCTGAAATGCCCAACAAAGAAACTCACTGGCATTTTAGAAACAACGGTTCAAAGACTGAAGTGAACCTAGCCTCCATCTAATCTTAAAAGAAAATTTCCATAGACTCTAAAGAGAAACAGATCTGACTCTAAGTAATCAAATACAAATGCTGATATATAGCTCAGCAGCCCAACTGCAGAGTAAACAAGCAGATGATCTGGCCCAAATTACATTGAATTTTTTTTTTCTAGAAAATAAATATCAGGAGCTACAGGAAGGTTCTTTGCTGATCAAACATTCTGGTGCACCTTTAATGTTCCTCGACCGACATTCCTCTACCGTAACTACTACTGGCCAGCATGACAGCAAGGAGAGATTATCCATCAGATTTAATCTGGTTATTCAGAAGCTTCTGGACAACGCTGCCACAATGTTCTTTGTATACAATAAATATTAGCTCACCCTTAACAGCAGGTACAATATAGTCTGTTAAACTTTTTAAAGCACGTAAAAGCATGAGGCACTGTGGAAAGCCAGACGTTGTACCTTTATCATGTGTTCCTGAACACTAAGTGGATCACTGCTGCCAAGGATACTAAGCAATTCCTCATCAGATATAAAGAAAAATCTTGGGAAAGCATTTCGCTTGGAATCCAAATAATCATTCAAGCTCTTCTGACATTTCTCTAGCACATCATTTATATGATTCAGGTCTGAGAGACGATTTGGGGCTTCGCAGGATTTTTTTATTGATGGTTCTTTTACAGTTTCATCCATTATCTATACAGGGAGAAAAGAAAGTTTAAAAAATACCAAACAGCAATGGATTATACTAAGTTGTATTTACCTAGTGACAAAGCACACAAGGACCACAAGCAGTACAAGTTCTTACAGAAGTGAATTAGGCAGTTTTAAATATGGTTTCCTGCTGCTGTAGTGCTGGATGAAAAGTAAGCCATAATCATACTGAGAGTATGTCGTCACTATAGGAAGAGGGGCATTACACCAGGAAAGCCTTTTTACCATGTATGTAGGTCCTCGACCTACAGCAACACGTCTAAACTTCTTACTATCATGGCAAAGGGAAAAAGATGTATCCAATAAAAGGAAAAGAGGATTCTGTCTGCCCAGTACTGCCAGTCAGGGATCGCATCCTTGCTCATCTTAGCTAAACCAAAAGTCCTCTCTGTGTAAAAGATGTGAAGCAAAACACCAGAGTTCCGGCGTTCCCCAATTCCACATTCAACTCATTGTAACATACCATGCTCAGTGTTACAAATGACACAGAAGACTCCAGCTAACTATGAAACTTGAAACAAAATGCACTAAATAACTATGCTGATCATGAGTCAAGCCGGTTACTTGCCTTTTTGAACATCCTGTCTACGCTGTCAAATATCTTGGCTTCCTCTGGAAGCTGTGATCTGATATCTCCACCAGTAAAGATGCTCTCCAGGTACATCCATTTTCCCTGAACCACCATCCAGATCTAACGTTACCATCAAAAAAATTAAAAACACAATTGTAAACCCTGATTATAAATAATAAACATTAATTATTTAGCTCAACATTTTCCTCCCTACCTCAATTACTTCACCGATCAATGACAGAATTTTTTCCCACTGGTGAACGGTTGACAGGAAAGGACCCACAAATCGACTGCTCGAAACACTCTGAAGATTGGCATTACTGTCATCAAGAACCTCTAGAATTTCACCTACAGATCCCAGAACAAAGCCTCGGTTCTCAGTGCCTTTGAAGTATATTTGTACAGTGAATTTCAGGTGTTCCCATGTTTCTGCTATTTCCTTCAGACCCTGTATGAGAGCATAAAAGATGCCTGTTTCAGTCTTCAAAAACAAGAAAACTACAATCTTAGCCTAAAATTTAAATCAAGTTTTCTAACTCTGGTTTATAAAGAAGAGTCTATTTAAAAATATCATGATGGCAACAGAATGACTCCTCCTTCAGAACCTTTTTCATAGGTTATTTCATTGTAATAACAGAAATCAAATATCCTCCTGCCAAAGCCAAGACAGACGGAGATTCTGTGTCACGTGGTAGCTTATTAACTGAGCTACTGATCCCAGTTAGACCATGGCAGCTCTCTGCGGACGGCCGAACTCGCTGCCATGCCAACATCAAAATCTCAAATAAAACAGATTGTTGCCATCTATGTATATTTAGTTTTATTACAGTATTTCACATTACCTTCTCAATGCTAAGTTCCTTAACAGCAGACCCAACTATTTCACTGATAACATCTGAGTATCTGTGAAGTTCCATAGCAAACATATTCTCCAAAGTGAAAGTCTCTGTTGTCATTTCAAAATTTGTTCCTGTTCTCTCCATAAGGTCTCGCCAATGCCTGTTTTAAATGGGCACATCAACAATTGTACCGACCAACAAAAATGAAAACAACCACAATTTAATATATAATAATGACACCAAGTTTAGCACTTCCCTGTTTAAACAAAACTAGTATTTTGAATACATAAAGTATCGTAGTCATCATATTCACCTTGCATGCTATTACACAAGTTCATCAAGCAGAAAGTGAAGTTTCAGGCTGTAGGACATGGCATGACCCCAGTAACTAAAATCAAAAGTTTCAACAAAACAAAAAAATCTTTCCATATATAGTAAATGGATTTTAAAAAAAATCACAGCAAACCTTTCTCTTAAAGCTTCATTTTTCAAATCGAGCAACAAAGGAATGGAGTCTCGAAATGCCTTCATTTTTGTTTCCAGTTGAAAGGCTACTGGCATATTGCGTGTTGGTTTGGGCAGCTTTCGAAAGGCTTTAAGAAATCCTTCAATTCCTTCCTGAAGAAGCTGGACATCGAGGTTTACCCACAGTGTCTGAGACCATTTCTCTTTAGCTTCCTGGGAACAAGGTCATCAGAAGGGAAAAAATCATATTTCATTTTAGTTCTGACTGAAAAAAAAAAATCAGTCTTTCCACTACGGTTGGATCTAGTGACCACAGGGTGCAGATGTAATTGTATTAACATTTTACAAACAGAGGAACAGACACAACCAGTCATATAAGAAATAACCAAAGGGAAATACAGAGAAGAGGAAAAGCATCCTTGAGAGTGCTTTTTACAAGGCATTTTAATTTTAGAAAAAATAAAACGTATTAAAGAGTAGTTAAGATCAATTAAAGCCTGAGACAGCCATTTTCACCTGCAGCCATGCTATCTCCAAAAGTAGTTCTACTGAAATGATCTGACTTAATCAGCAAAATGCCACCCAATAATAATAATGCCACCCAATAATAATTAGGGGGAAGGTTTGCTCCTCTCTGGTAAGAGTGTTTAGTCCACTGTGGAAGCATTGCTAGTCCTGTACTAACATCATTAAAATAACTTTATGGAGATAGCCATTTACAGCTCAGAGCTTATTGCATACAAAGGCTTAGAACAACATCTGTGTATACACAGTGCAATACTTACTCTTTGTAATTTATAGATTTCATAGATCTGCTTTAGAGCTTTCATATCATTTTGTGCTTTTATTAAATCAGGGTACACTGTAACCGGCAAGCCAAAAAGTTTCTCAGCACTGCCCAGTTCCTGAATTTTTTCCAGTTTTTCCAGTTCTTTTTCAAAATTGGCCAAGAGTTCCAAGCCTGGGAAAGGAGAGGATTTTTCTAGATAAACAATCCCAGTGATCATGGGGAATAAATAAGATAGTCTGTAAATAAGTCTGTAGAAGTTATAGTACTAAAAATGTCACATTCCTGGTTGAGCAGTTTGTATGCTAATAAAGCTAGCACAATTTTCTTGGTTTACATAAAATTTGAAGAATTGCCTGAAGATGACTATTTTAAAGATATTACCTCACACACATTAATCAATTTACCTTTATCAAGGTCTTCTCCGACAGCACCAGGCCCCTCAGCCAGGAATTTATGGAAGAAAGTTTCAATCTCTTTGCTGTAGTCCTCAACTTGTTGCAGTGTAACCTAAAGAAAACAATGTCTACATAGTTTTCCTTTCCATTTCTTATTTTTTTCAATATTAATTACAAATATTACCTCTGTGAATGTTCTTTTTATGCCTCCAAGGTTGTAATCAACTTGTGATGCTTCTAAGAACAGAGTCTCCCACTCCTCCCTAATCTTGTCGGACATCTCTTGCTCTTCTTTAGCCACCTAAAACAAGACAAGTAACATCTTTCACAAGAAATAATCAGTCATAAGAAAGTGAAGAGTATGTGCTCACATTATAAATTTTCAAAAGACAAAACCGGCATTGAAATTATCTTAATCAGATTTAAACATATGCGATATGCTCATTTTAAAGCGGAGATACTGTTTCCAGAAGAGGATTTGGACTAGACAATCTCCAAACATCCCTTCTAACCTAAACAATACTGGAATTCTACAAAATGTTGAAAAAGGAAAACACTCATTTGTTCACATATGAGGCATTTGTGCCCCTAGCTCGAACTTGAAATGTTTTATGAGACATGCACGTACTGGAATATTGTACATTGCGAGAGTTCGGTATCTCTCCCAGATGTCCAAATATTTCAGTTCCACATTGGAGGACATGCCTTTGATCTCCTCAATTGTGCCAAGAACAATTTTGAGATCTTCCAGGGTATCAGGAAGTCTCTCAAGTCTCTCTGATAATCTCTGTAAAAAGTAAAGATAATTTCCAGAATCAGTACTGACAAAGCAATTACAATGGCAGAATTACAATGATGAGTCAAACACAAAACACAAGCAAATAACATGCAGATTAATTTTCAACCTATGTGACAAAGATTAAAGAAAACTGAAAACACCCACCCGAATTTCCTCCTGAAGACTGGAGAGTGCCTCTCTTGCAGACTCATTAAGCAACTTTCCAAGTGAAAACATCCAGCCTCTAGCATTCTCCTGCACTTCCGAGGCTAAAGGAGCCATCTGAAGCCTGATAAATTGCTCATCTTTAATCACGGGCTCTTGAGTCACTTCTTGAGCTACCTTCAGATAGAACTGCAACTGCTCCTCAAAGGCGATACAAGACGGCTGCTCTGCAGCTAACCTCTCCAGGACCGTGCCTTTGTCTAATTTCCACAGCAGGTGGTACTTCTGCCATTGGTTCGAATGCTTGCTCAGAGAAGCCAGGAGTTTGTGGACATTCTGAATGATGAGTACAGCCTGTTCAGTTATCAGAGGGTTCTGGGAGATGTCTTTGTAAAAGCTGAAAGTGATAGTTTCATCTTCTTTGACATGCTGAGGAGGGCATCCAAGACACGTACCATGCATCCATCGTACAAAATGCTAGTTTTCAAGACAGAGTTGAAGAATAGTTACTTTGTAGAGAGTCATTTTAGTCAAATCTCTCAGAATCACAGAATCAGTTAGGTTGGAAAAGATCTTTAAGATCACCGAGTCCAACCGCAAACCTAACACTGCCAAGTCCACAACTAAACCATGTCCCTAAGTGTCCCTTTTAAATCCCTCCAGGGATGGTGACTCAGCCACTTCCCCAGGCAGCCTGTTCCAATGCTTGACAACCCTTTCAGCGAAGAAACTCACTGTTATTTAGCAGACTATGTAGGAAGTAGAGTGAATGATTTCTCAAATCAATTGTTTTTCTGACAAGAAGGAAAGAGATTACATTTTCCCATAAACTTCAGAGAAGAATTAACTTTATCCCAACATAACCTTTCCATGCACTACTCAGTCTGCTTTTAAAATCTCTGCTGAGCGACAACATAGCATGACACAGACAAATAGGTATTAGATCAAACAGGCTGGATGCGGCAGTGGAGCAGAACAGCAAATCTAAGCATAGAAAGCACACTTAATCTAAATTTATTCATTTAAGGTCATATCTGGAACCCTTTCTCCATCAGCACAGGGCAGGAATACTGCCACAGTAGCAGACTTATTTTCAGGAAAGCAGTTCAATATGAATATACTTATGTAGAGAAATATGGCTACATCTTTGCCAGCAAGCTAGATATTTTGTTTGCTGCAAGTGTCCTGTCCAAAACGTGTCCTAGATGCCCTTCTCCCAACGTTTTCTCAGCTGTTTTTCTGCTGCTTCTGAGGAGAGCCATAATACAAAAAAGGCTACTCATATTCCTTATTCCATCACCTTACTCATACGTCAGAAAGCAACATCTGCACTGCAATCTGAAAAGTATTTCCTTCTGATGTATGCTAATTTACAGAACTAAATCATAGGCTTACACTGGCAAAACTGCTGAAAAGCAACAAATAGTTTTGCCTGAGTAAAAATTGCATGAAGCTTTACGGCAATATTTTTTCTTTGTCATCAGTGTGTAAAATTAGGATGGTCTGTAAAATTAGAACAATGTACTGGATATTTTGATTTCAAGATAAAGCAATATGAACCTTCCCTTTTACATTTATGCTTGGCCAAACATAAAACAAGGTGAATTCACTATGATCACAAGAAAACTCTGGCAACAAATAAATCTTTATCAAAAATCACCTTAGTGACCTCAACACAGTCTCGGATACATTGTGCAGTCATTTCGTGAATCTCACTGGCATTAGGTTGCAAGATTATCTCGGGAATAGATAAAATAGCTTCAATTTGGAACAGTGGCACATTTGCAAGAACAGTTGCATTAAAAGCCTGCAAATTCCTGGAAAAAGAAAAAAATTGTGTGAAAGACAGTAATAATCAGGTGCTGTCGCCCATGGGGGAATTAGGGTTAATATACACCAAGTTCTCAAAATTGCATTCTTCAGTAAAACAAAAACTTGATTTTTAAAATAAAGTAGGGATATGCAACGGCACACATGGCAGAAAACCTATCTTAATTCTCTCTTCTGCATGTCAATATCCACTTTCTCAGAATTTGAGTTTCTCCTGTACCTCGTTATCAGTTCTCCATTCTTCACAGGAAGAAAACAGTACAAATACGAATCAAACTGCGAATCACTGAGGTGTTCGGAACAAGTATCAGTACACATACTGATCAACAGATTCAGAAAAACCTAAAGATGAAAGACTGAGAATCCATTAAAGTAAACAATTGACTTACTTCACAATTAACTGTGTCAACACTTGATAAATTCTGTTTTCCCAGTATGCATAACAGGACGTTAATTTTGCAGATTTGCCAGTGTTTGTATTGGCAACTCGTCCTTCCAATTTTATTAGCAACTGTGGAATTGCAGAATACTTTCTAACCATGTATGCCACATCTTTTGCTCTTTCACACTTAATATACTCAAAAAATTCTTTTGCTTCTGCAAGAGATACAAAAAACAGCATTATTAACTGCAAAAGACCAAATGGACTTGCATAGTGGAATAATTACCGGGGCTTTATTTGTGAACACGAAATTGATCTTGTATACTGATTTAAAAATATCTTCCTTTATTAATGCTTAATTTAGCAATATTTCAGCCCTGCTTGTGCTTCCTCTGTGACACCAATAAATACTATCGTAACTAGGGTTTGGTAACAATTAAAAGTGTTGATCTTAGCAACAAAAAGTCAAAGTGGGAGACAGAGCAAAATTATACATCACAGAACTTAGAACTGAAAATATAAAAACTTACTAGGAAGTTCACCATTTTTCAAAAGCGGAAACTTAAAGAGATTTGTGGCTTCCATGAACAGAAGGTTTTTGTTTATGTCTTCAGAATAATGATGAATCTGATGGACAAGCAACTCAAACTTCCTGATGGCTTGTGTACACTGGACAATAAAGCCACCAAAACCTTGAAATAAATCACAACCATTGGGTTTGTTTTAACAAATATTTCATGAACGCATCAAAACTGCCACTACCAGATGTTTTATCTGAGAATGAACTGATGCTCTGCAGAGAAACAGACTGGGTGATTTATCACCTCGTACTTCATCGAGCTCCCTTCCAGCTGTTATCTAAGGGTCTCTATGCATTTCCACTCAGTGTTTTAAATATAAGAAAAACATAAGAAATAGCCTCCTGGATCAGAGTCTGTCTAACTTGCTATTCTGACTCCAACTGCGGCATTTAGGGACACACTGCTGTCATATGACATAAAATAAGAGTGCAGCATTGAAGATATTTTTTAACTGAAAATCAGTATCTAAGGCCATTTTAATACAGTATCTCCATTACCTAAGGACATCCAGTTGAGTCTTCTGTGCCCTGGTTTGAATACTCTCCAGAGTTCTTGAATATGGTCATCAAGAAGTTCAGTTTCTGCTTCACTCAGTGTTCCCATTAACTTATGATAGAGATCTATTGTGTTTTTCAGTCTCCTTGAATACCTACGGAGTGCCAGAACAACACAACAAAAATCACGATTTTCTGGAAACACAGTTTGGAACTCAGATCAAAGAGCAGATCACTTCCATCATTCTATTCAGACATTCATATAAAGCAAAATTTGTTTTAATTTCATATGGCTCCAGCAGTAGTTATACAAATGTCTCCTACCTCAGCTCAGAAGAAGTTTTTCAGATAGCCTCAGTTTGTAGCACGTAAGTGAACTCAACCTGTGAACTTTAAAACCCACTTAGGGCTCATACTGGCATACCTGTGTGCTAAATGTCTGTGATAATTTGGGCAAAAGTGACTCATCCAAAGCTGCACAAGAAGAAAGCAGCAGTGAGTTTAAATGTGAGCTGAAATCTAAATGGCGCTAACAATCGACTGCAAAACAAATTACTTCCCTTATTTTTCAATCCAGGTTTGACAAGACGTTAATTAGTATGACATAGTCCTACAGGGTGAAGGATGCAGACAGCGCCAGAGAAAAGCTTATTAGTGCAACATGGCCGTAAGTTATTTTACTCTTAAAAAAAGTCACTAAGATCTCCAAATGCTTCCAAAACTTGATGACTTGGGGCCCATTCTGATTTGGAGTGAAACTACTTGAAAGTGAGTCTTGTGTGAGTACAGACCACTTGTGAGTCTGTACATGAGTAGATACTCTGTTCCAGTCTTACCTGCAATATTTGTCTTCCAGTGATGCCACATATTTTGCCATTTCTGGGACTGGAAACCCTAGCTGTTGCATGTACCCTGTTTCAATGATAATCTCTTGGAGTACGGGAGAAAAATTCACTATGAAGTGGACACTTTTTTTTGTGGTGCCAGGCTCCTCTGTTACAGAGCTCTAGAACACAAGAAAGAGCAGCAAAAAGGAAAGGAATACCAAACCATTAGAAGGCAAGGAAAAGGTTAGTTCTTGGAGACATTTGATAGAGCAGTGAGTAAAAGTCAGAATGGCTGACATTCAGAGCTTGTTTAAAATTCAACAGCAGCCTCAGCATTTATAGTTTCAGAAATTATACACAACTACTTCTCCAGTGAAAGCTGATGACAAGAAACAAACCAAATCGCTTCTGTTCACACCCTGCTGCAGCCAGTTACAATAAAAATCCCAGTGAAAGTTCACAGTCAGACGAAAGTTTAGTTAGAACAGGATTCTGCATGATCTCTACCTAACTTCAGTCCCAAGTTTTGTTGTAGCATTGAAAGATCAGGCACAAAAGGCAAAAAATAACAGGAATCACAGCACAGAAGAACACACAGGGGTAAACAACATTCATCCATTTGCCAGGTCATTCAGCAAATGTCTTATTAAGGACCATGACCAATTCTCACCTCAGAACTTAAGAAATTTTCATCTCAAAACCTATGCTTAAAATGCTATTCTTAGAAAAATCTCACTGACCATTAGACAGCTTTCTTCCCCATAGAGAAGTCTGGTATATTATCTTCCTACATCTCACCTGCTCAGAAGTCTCTGGATTACCATGGGTTGCAGCCCCAACAGTGGTGACAGTCAGCAGAGTCTTTTCCAGTAACAGGGGGAGTACCTGTTCTATCTCATGTTTCCACTGCTGGTATTTTTGATCTTCATATTCTTTCATCCTCTTGGCCGTTTGAAGATATATTTGTTTTGCCTAGAAAGGAAAATTCTGTATAAGTCATTTTAAAGATCATGAGAAACATTGAACTAGCTGTCTTAACATGGGTTCTAATTTTTTATTAGATGAGAAGGCAAGTAATGCCTTGTAATTAATGCAGGCAACAGAGAGTTCAGGCTCTTGGATTCTGTCACTGTCTCTCTGGGAAAGAGTGGGAAGGTCTCATTCAGCTTAATACATCAAACATGGCTTGCTGTGGGCAAAGACATTCTTGAACCTTCACCTCACATAAAAGCATTTCGTATCTTTAGAAGATGAGTATGAAGAAAGTATTTCTTCTTTCATTAAATATCAAAAGAACCAACATACTTCCTTTCCCCGTTCACTATCAAGCATCTCCTCTATTTCTTGAAATCGAATAATAGTGTGTTTGATCCGATAGAAAAGAGATCGGGACCAGTATATTGCTCCAGCCGCTGGAGGATGATTTTTTTGCAGAGGTGGATCCTTGAGGTTCTGAAGAAAGATTTGTTTAATATTTTCAACCTAGAAGAGAATAAAATATTGCAAATAATTATTTCTCCACTTCATTGTTCACAGTTTGGATCTAACCTGCTACCACAGCACAAGCTCTGAAGCTCATTCCAGCAGCAGGAAAAGGGAGAGGAGTTGTAAAACTTTTCAGTGTTTCAGATAGTAAATGATTCTATACAGGTATTTAGACATATACACAGATTTATGATTTTCACTAGGTAAAAAGCTTTGTGTACTATGTAAGAAATCCTTAAATACCTCTTTACAGTACTGGTCCAAAATATCATTGAACTTCATCATTATCTGCTTACTGATTGCTTCATGAAAGTGGATGTGTTTGAATTTTAACAGCACGTCAAATGCAGCTTCTGCTGATCGAGGGGTCTTAAAAGATTCATCAATGAAGTTTTTGGTCTCTTCTTCAATAACCTAAACACAGGAAGAAGGCCAAAAGTCCTGTCACCTAGAGATTCATCTTGCAAAACCAAGAAAAGAAGGTAACATGAAAACACTTTATAATAGTAGTCAAGCACATATATATCACTTCTTGTCTTATAAATTACTAACAAACTGAAGGCTTTCCAGTAAGCTGCAAGAAATTAACGTTAATTAATGTGTCTGCTGGGCAGGCATAAAAATCACAAAAAAACATTGTAACAGTTTGTATTTTCTTAGTATTCTTAGCCAAGGGGTGAAGAACTGAATGAATCCAGAAAAGGAAGTTTTACTTCTTTGTAGGGCGTGATTGAGGCACGCCAGCACGTGACTACAGGGAGGTAACACGTAGCCCGTGTTTATGCTGTAGCAAGTCTGTCAATGAACAAAACGTGTCCTTCACCATTTTCAAGACAAAGGGAAACTATAAACACAAACAACTTGGAAACAGAATACTGCCTTAAGAACTGGTCACATTCCTCACATTCACGTGAGGGCTCAGCTCGCTGCTGTATGGCTCCATCCCCAAAGCCGCTGTCAGGTTTGGAATGTTCATGTGAGGAATTAATTTACATATTTATTCATACATTCTTTCACCAACTTACATTTTCTTTAAATAAAAGCATTGATTTTTTTAGAAAGAATTTATATATAAGAAGCAAGGAGGGTGGAGTGGGTAATCACAGTATATGGTACTTACTGAAACTTCTTCTCTAAATCCTTCCTTAACTGATTTCCAGGCCTGTGCACTTTTGATGCTAAAAGGGTCAAAAGTCAGTTTTTCCATAGGACTAGTTAGTCCATTTACTTCTCTCAGCAGATCATCAAAACGCTTTGCACCGTTTGTGAGAGTTTGCAGTTCAGGACAAAATACACTGCACAACTCTTCAATGACCTGTTAATTCAGAAAGCTTTATTTTTAAAGTTGTTTTCTTTCTGTCATTTAACACATCTTTCTGATATTATTCCCTTTTAAAAACAAAAATATCTAAGAGAATGACCAATTCATGCTGTGATTTACATTCCGTGTATTTCTATATAACATACTAAGTAGCTTTACGGAAAGAAACTAACACTTTATAGGCCCAATGTTTGCGTTAAAACAGATAATAACTCATTATTACTCCTTTTTCACATACGTAGTCTTTACGTGCAGTCCATGGCATCTGATCATTCTTGGACCACTAATATTGCTACCTACTCTGGCTGAAATTAGCCTAAACATAGCATCTCTTCATTCTTATGTTATCCTGCAACTGAAACCCTGACTCATACATGGTCAAATTTTACATTATAGTATACTTAAATTATTATTTTATCTAAAATTATCTCATTAAGCTAGCAACCCTTGAAAACTGCAGATCTGTGAAACAGCGGTTACAGGTCTGGATGTTGGTAACAGCAACAGACACAGATATCTCATTCCCCATCCAGTACCTTGAGAAGAGTTATTTTGTCCGAAGCACTACAGGCAGTGCTGTTGGAATCAAAGGCACTGCTTGGGTCTTAAACACAAAGCCACTTAGAAATCTGAAGGCTGTTACCATTTCAACAACTACAACAGAAAAGAATCTCCTGTACAGAATAAGACAGTGATCACATAATCCTTTTCTTTATTCTCTATATTACTACCTGCAAAATATCATACAGATCTTGACAGGCTGAAGCCATATAATCTGTTTTTTCAAATAAACGTTTCTGGTCAAATTCCCAGTGCTTCTCTATTCCTGTTGCTTCAATCTGGGCACGAACAGCAAAATAACTTTTCTTCCATTGTTCAAGAGTTCTTTTGGCTTCCGACACTTTCTTTTTTGCAGCAGCTCTTTCTTCTCTATTAATCAAATCAAGATAGTTAAGATACTACAGATAGAAAGACTATACATAGAAAATTGTATCTCAGCTGAATTAATATACAGTGTTTAGCAGCTTCCAATTACACAAGATCTAGGCAAAACTTCTAACTCTGAGGTCTTCATTTTCAATGTGACTGGTTTTTGAAAGGAGGTATTATTTCAGGACTGATTTTGATTGTACTTACATCACTTTATTACCACTATAATTCCACTGGGTTTATTGATTTATGTCCTTTTGAGACAAAAGAGAACAAGTGCCTATTTCTTCAGGGCTGATTCAGTAATATATGCATATCACAAAATAAACTGACCTGTAACTGACTTTCTAATACAACTTCTGATAGTGAAAAATGCTGAAACCTATACCATTAAAGTGCTATCTGCTGCACTTCATGTAAAACAAGCAGTGCTTTTACAAATACAGCCTAGTTAAACAGGAATCCTGTACTTACTGAAACAATGTACATATATCCACAACTTTGTACACCTTTGCTGAAACTTCCCATGCAATTCGTTCCATGAGGGGTTCCATCCACTTGCTCTTGTTGTAACGCCCCGAGATAATCCAGACCATTCTCAGGCCACTCATTAGTGAAGGAATTGTAGCCAAGACGACATTAAAGTCAGTGCCATATGTTAAATTCTATTAAATGTATTATAAATATTATTAATAAGAAGCCATGAAAATATACCCACAGATATTCTATAAACCAGTATTTACCTATAGATACCTGAAGTTAAGAAAGTCTGTGACATTATTGAATAACTCAGTCAAGGAAACACCCTGGTGCCTAACACACACAGTTAAGGATGTTCAAATCTGCACCTATTGCTTCAAACACTTTTTAGGTCCTGACTCATCAATATTCTTGTCCATAAAAGATGTCACAAGACTGGTTTTGGCTCAACTCTTCATTTGGTTGTTTGGATGATCTTCAATAAAACTTAAAAATTGAGACATCAGCTGTAATCAGTGACTGAAGCTACCTCAAAAACAGAGTTGAGCAATCTTTGTTTTCCCCAGTTTGGCTGTATTATCAAATTCTGCCAGAGCTGTGATGGAAAAATCAAGCTGTTCACAGCTTTGGACTTCTGCTTTCCAATATTAGAATGTAACTCAAACAAAATAAGCAAGCCTTTTTTTTTTTTTTAGTTACATATTAAAAAGCTGCAGTATATCTTTATTGCTGATAAAAAATAAACAAGAGGTCATTGTATCAGCAGAGGAAACAAACTCAGTTAAAAGTTCACAAAGCTTTCTGAAGGATACATACCTTCAAATGGCATTCAATAGCTGAAAGAAACTTAACACAATCTAGAGCATCCACATGTTGTTTTCTAAGGTCACTTAAGACTAGCTGTACATCTCCAATATGCACAGATTCGGCTTCCTGTAATATTTCCAACACTTTTTGCACTTCTGGAAGCTTTGTCTGTTCAGTAAGAGCACTTAAAGCATCCCTTTTTGCACGCCAGAGGTCAAGTTCTGCAAGTGGACCGTTACCCTAAAAGTAGTGAGGAATAAAATAAAAATTCTAAAATACTGTTATGCAAGAGTGAAAAATCTTAATGAGGATTATACTTGTTCCTTTACTTCGATATGCTGTATGCTGAGAAAAACCTGGTAGGATTCAACCATGCAAAAAAAACCCAGACAGAATAACATCCTTGAAATCTGAAGTTTTACACATGCTGAAGGGAACTGCTCATGGGGAGGTTATCCCCAAGTTGAAGGCTGGAGAGTCCGTGCTTGCAAAAGCTTATGCACAAGTAACTTTGTAGATACGAAATCCCTCAGCACATTTAATGGTCTTAGTCATATGTGTAAGTATTTGCAGAAGCTGAACTTTAAAACTGGAACTCTTTTTTGTCTTAGATGACTTTTTCAGGCAAAAATGTAATCATCTAATTAAGAAAAAAATCTGCTGCAGATTTGAATATTTCATGGCTCTCTAGAAGAGTGTAGATAACAACAGTGCCTTTGTTTTCCACAGTAAGTCTGTGTGGGTAGGATCGGCAGTGAATTACTTTATATTCTAATTATATTCCATTTCCTGTAGTCACATAGTTCCTCGCTACTTTTGCTCTACTTCACATCAACCAGCAAATGGCTTTCCAGCAATCAAACATGAAGATGGATTTAAAAGGAGTACAAATCATTCAATGACATTCTTGTGGGAAAATAAGGTCAAGTCTCTAGGAATAAAAGAAGCTTGGTGTTGTAGCAACATTACCTGTGGAACCTTTTTAAGCTGTTCCTCTAGAGTCGTGGATATTAACTTCTGCCAGGTCACTGCACAACTTTCCAGAGCTTCAACTACTTCTGGAACTGTGGCAAGAACAGTCACTTCTCCATCTAGATTTATGGTTGGCATCTCCAGTTTAATACCTCCTGCTGGAAGAAAAGGCACAGAGAATTAACTGTCTTGTTCCATCAGCACTGGTAAAGTAACATCACTGAAACAGTCTTGCATCTTGGTCGCTACATGAGGATAGTTAACAAACCACCTGCTCTGCCTGTTTGAGAGTATGGAAAAATGCAATCAGTTGCGTCACAGTTAACACAGTGCAAAGAAAGATATATTCCTAGAAATAAATTAAAAGTGCTCAGCTTTATAAGCCTTAACACAATCTCTAACTATTAAGAATTAGGATAAGGGCTTTGCTGAAGAGGATTATCAGGCTGCCTATTGCAAGCGACTACGCTCTCCTTAATGGCACGACAGTAGCCCCTGCCAGAGAAGAAACAACGTGTGGAAGTCTCACTTGGTCCACCCTGCTACGGCCCGAGCCTCCTGAAGGCCACGAGGCATGCTTCACCTCTCTCCTATTCATACTCCAGTCTGTAGGAAAGACTATCGCTGATTCCATCCATTTCTCCATATTGCCTGCTACGCTTCAGGGCAGTAAAAAAACTACTGTTATCAGCAAAGAGAAATTTTAATCAGGTCTGGAGCGTCCCCAGAAACTGTTTGTATTTGTTTACATAAAGTCATTCCTAGGTCAATCCCTTTCTGCTGTCATGCACTCTAAACACAGCAGCACTGGCACAGGCAGAACACTCGCCTTCCGTTTGTTGTACGATCTTCTGGGTTTGCCTGTTCACAGGAATTAAATTCCTCTTCTGAATATTACAGTATTCCAGGGGCTCTTCCTTCTTTTCTGCAAGTTCAGTCTCAGGTAAAGCACCTTCTTCAGAATCTGTGTTTTCACTATCTGAATGAAAAGAAGTTTCCTCTATCTGCTGCTGACTATAGGAAAGAGCCGGTGAAAACACCTATAATTCAAACAGGTATCATAGATTAGATAAAAAACAATAGAGGTCAGCTTACTAGCAATTCACTTAAGCATTAGATATATTGTTCTAAAATTTAACCCAATTGCATCTCCTTCCATTTCACCTCTTCAGCATTATTCTCTCTGCCTCAAGTTCTGCAGAGGAATAGCTCCAACATGCTTTTAGAAAAGTCTATCAGCACGAAAGTAGAGGGATCTGATGGCACATTCTTAAATGCTTCATATATAAGGCCAGGCAATGAAATAATGCCTGTCTCCACATCTTTACAAAAATTTGGGACACAAAATATCAAATAAGAATTAACAGATACTTTGCTTTGGTATATATTAAATACTACCATTTCTAATGCACAGTCCATATGGTCAGCCAAACAGTAAATAGGCAAATCACTCACAGAAAGACTTGAGACTCCATAAACAAAAGCTGTACCACATTTACCTGTGAGATGGCATTCTTCAGCATCAAAAGACTATCATCAGTCAGCACTCCACACTGTATCACTTTAGGAAGAACCTCATTAGCTTCAGTCAGGTCATTAGGTTCAGTAATTCGTTCTAAGGAGTATACAAACAACTAGCATAAACTAATTATTTGACAGAGAAATAGTAATAGTTAATGCACAGACTGACCACACCGAGCCTGCACTTATTCAGGGCACATACCTTTGGTGTCTCTCAGAAAATACACAGTACAATCTGACACAAATTCTTCAGGATTTTCATCAAGAGCCACAAAGAAACGCACTTTGTCAACTTTCCGTTCTTGTAGCTGAGACAGAAAAAGGAAGTATGACTGTTCGCTGCCACATTTCTTAACAGGAAGAAGACATTTGCCTGCTGGGAGCGCACTGCCCATTTTTCCACTAACAGTCAGTGTTTTCCCAAGCAAGTTACCTTTGCAGTGTCTTGCCAGTCAATGTTAGAGGCTGTGGCAGACACCACAAGCCACTGGCGTTTAATTCCTGTTCCTGTAAAATGTTCTGTTCTGCTCTGAGTACTTGCTCTGCACTCTATACATCCTTAATGTGCCTACCAGTTTTACTGAAACATTTGCATCAGAAAGCAAGCATCTCATATCTGAAACAGTGCAAAGTACAACAGACTTACTTGCACTGTGTGTTCCAAACTGTCAGTTGTAAATCTTTGCTCCAGTTCACTCAATTCAGACCCACTAGACACGTGACCTGCCACATTTTCATTGTCTATAGATTGCAGAGGGGATGTCTTGCTTTTCTGAGTGATCTCTAAGAAAGAGTAACAGAAGAGAACTCAATTAAAGAACATATATTCCATTCGTATAAAAATGGATTTTCCTCTTAAACTAAATGACTCAGCATTTTCTTCCAACTTCAGCATCACCTTTCAACAACCAGCCGTCCAAACCTGGTGTTCATTATACATTTTCCCATAGCACAGCACTATTGCTGAAGAACTGAATCCAAATAAGCAGGTAACTATACTGCATTCCACAGGGAATTGGTCTTTATTTAGAATATCCTTAGCAGCGTTTTCCAATGTAATTGATTTTCATCACAAAATAAGCAGATTAGTGCACTTCAAGATGAAACCACTTTGGAAAAGGAAATGCAAACAATTACAAAAAATGGTCTTGACGTGCTACGTGGAAAATTTGAAAATATTTGTAGTTATGTCATGACCAAGAAGTGATGGTGAAGCCATTGTTAACACAGAAGTAACCATACGAATTCCAGACTCAGTCAAGAATTTCAAACATTATTTTAAACTGTCTTTCAGAAGGTGCACTACGTCTTCTTTCCCTTTCAGCACAGGCTTTTGAACGCTTAAAAAGTGGAAATGGCACAGCTGCATCCCCAACTGGAAAGGTCATGCCCCTTTGTGTGCTGATACTATTATCAAGCAATAATAATTCTCCCTGTCTTACTGCTTTTGAGCATTTAACCCACAGCATCACCGGGTGTCTCCATTCAGAGGTGCAGAGTGGGAAGTTGAATTCTCTCATTCCTTTAGTCTACTTACACCCACACCAGGCCTCAGCACTTAACTTCCATGGTCCTATCTTCCTGCACAGTATGAACAAAATTCTTTTATGGATATAAAATACCAGGCTGTGACTCTCTGTTTCTGCAAGTAACTGCCTTGGAAGCTTGTGGGAGTTACAGATACTGACAGCAGAAGAAGAGAACTGAATCTCTGAGCCACAGAAAATCATCGCTTTCTTCTGACACCCTTTCCATCCCTTTTATTTTTTTTCCCATTCTTTTGTGAAAGGCTTCTCAGCAATACGGTGGTTAAAGTACTGGAACAATCTTAACTCTTAACAAGATCACCACTTTTATCCTCAATGAACTACATTGGTATAAAAAGGAGAGCTTGCCATTCTTAAGACAAAGGGAACTAATTCATTTCAACTTTTTTTTCATTTAAAAAAAAAAGTTAATTTCTAAAAATATGAAATTATAAAGCAACTAAAAGATGTCACAAAGACTGGATGATAGATCTGCGTTCATGGTTTTGTTCAGCCCAGTCAGTCTCTTTCTTTCCATCTATTTGGAAAAGATGAAAGAGCCAAACTAGGATAAGACTTCTTTCCAAGGAGTATCCTGAGGCAGAAGCTCTTGAAAATTAATTAGTCACGCTGCCCAGGGCACTATCCACAAAACCA